AATAAATATAAGCTTATAATTAGGGATTATTCTAGCCTCGGTGAGGGAATAATCTAAATTTTATTAAAGACAGGAGGCGAATATTTGCTTTACCTTCTTTACTGAAACCTCCAGCAGCAAAGAAACAGTTAACAGAACTTTTCAAAACAACCAATCAGAACAAAGCAACAGTAGTATAAAACCCCTAAGCAGGCTCTTCCACTTCCTCTTTCTTTGATGAGGTCGAGCAGGAGAGCAAGGAAACCAACGAATCCACCTTGTAGCAGACACATCCAGAGAAACAATCGTCAAGCCCAGAGAGAAAACAGATTACACTGCAAGAAAACAGAAAACATTGTGAAAGTAAACTGTCAAGGCAAGATGTCATATCCATACAATATCACTTTCACATCATAATACCTGATGAATAAACAAAGTCTACAGATCTTATGAAGACCTAGTATGTACCTAAGCTAAAAGGCATTGACGAAACATAATTACAACACAAACATGATGAATAAAACGCACACGGACAACCATCACTGAATATTAGAAATAACCTTTATTATGTAAAACCATGCATTCACAAAACATAAACAATATCCCCAATTATTTATAATAGAATAAAACCCAGATCCAGGGAGGGAACGTAAAAAAAGGGGGGGAAATATTCGCCTCCTGTCTTTAATAAAATTTAGATTATTCCCTCACCGAGGCTAGAATAATCCCTAATTTTATGGCAGGACAGGAGGCTTCATATTTGCAATTTTAACGCCCAAATAGTAGAACCAGAAGCAATATGAGATAGAGGACTGAAATAAAGGAGAATGGAAAAACTGATTCCCTAAACAAAGCAGCGGTGTAGAGAAAATGCAGAAGGGACCCAACGGCTTCCAAAATTGTTGAGGTGACAGCACCCCGAACCAAAAGTGTCACAGAGGAACTCAAGGTCAGTCAATGAGAGGATCCACCAAATCCAACGGGCGAGCGAAGATGCAGAAACAGTCCAAAACGGCCATACGCAGAAATAAACAGCTGTCCATGAGTAGACGGACGAAAGAGCCAGATCCTGGATCTACATGGTCGTGTACAATCTGTCAACAGAGCTGTGGCCTATCCGGAGAATAGGGGTACGACACAGAGGACGAATAAAAATGAAATATGTGTTGTGCAGAAGCCGATGTACTGAACGGCAAGAAGGAAGAAGACACGTCGATACCATGACGTCAGAACGCGATGAAATACAAGATGTACTGGGGGGAAACCGTAAGCGGAAAAAACTGTCAAGAGATAGGGCTCCCGTACGGTATACTCCTCTTGGTAGACTGCAGACCAAGAGATCCTTAGCAATGCCAGAATCTTGAGAAACGCACATGAGTCGTCCACTAGCTGACATAGGACGTGAATGGCCCCATACGATCCTACCCTGAGAGGGCAACTCAGCCAGACAATGGGGACAGCCATGATAAGGACCGCCATTGGGACCCAAACACAAGTCGTGGCAGGCTACCCCTGTGGATCCCAAGTGGGACATTAAGAGACAGGGAGTCGTAGATTGCCTTCCCATGGCAAACTCGAGCAAAAAGGGGAAAGCACGCAGGACTCCTCCGAAGTGGTTTGGCCAGGCGAAACGACACTTCCAGGAATTCGGTCTGAAGCAAAAACCCAGAGTATCCTGTAGGTAAACGGGATGCGTACGCCCCGAAGGAGACCAAGCTTGGAAAACTCGTCCCTCGCCTCGCTGAGGGTCCGGCAGCCAGTTGGAGAACTGCTCCATATGGCGGTTCGCACCGAATGTAATCATGCCAGTACTCGAGACCCTGGAGGGTGAGGCAACCAATCATTGGGGTCTCTCCATGGCCGGGTGAAGCCGTCCGCCACACAAGTGTCTCGTCCCGCATACATTCTGTCACAAATGACGAATACTTGTCCAGAAGCTATAGATAGCGATCCTATGTGAGATCCGACTGCAGTCCGTAGTGGGCAACCGGTGAGAAGTCCATGCCGGAAGGTAGCGAGCAATACTGTGAATTTTGAACAAACCTGCAGGTAGTTCCATGCAGTTGGCGTAAAGGAGTCCCTCCTCCGGAGTCATCAATTAAGTCTTAGATGAGCTTCATCCGAAGGTCACATGATTTGGTCATACCAGGCCAAAGACCCGAGAAAGCGCCATGTTGGAGCGGCTGATAGTACCGGATCCTTGAGGTATGGCTTCCATGGCGAATAGGCACCGGTCAATTAACCGGGTTGGGCCCCTAAGTGTAACCCGCAGGTTGCGAAGCATATACCTGGTATTTTCCTTGAAGACGGACATCTTGGTCCTCGGGAGGCGGAGCACCGCCTGGACCGAATATTCCATGAAAGACCGGAAACTGGGTTGACTTGGAGTGAGTCAGATTCAATATGTCCATGTAGATGGCAAAATCCATGCGGGTTTCTCTCATATGCATTTGAGGGAGAGAACCAATCGTCAACGCCGAGCAGCTCTCAGAGGGGATGAGTGCCCTCCGTCTCAAAATGTGTCAACAGACGACATGCACTGGGAGCATGTAGCGTGGGGATGGGGCGGGAGTCCACTCCACCGCACCCTTTGCCCAGCAGGGCAACTGCGGAATGAGTCGGAATGGATGCCTCTTTTGGTCATGCGTATCGCTCATGGAACGGTCCAAGGTTCCGCAACCTTGATCTGGAGTCCGGGCACGGCCAGAGAGACCTCTGGGCTAGTTAAGGGGGAACCCTATGAATAGAGACATGTCGGCTCAATTTGTAGACGAGGGTAACTCCGGAGAGCAGACCCAGCACTTGGATGCTAAATCCATCAGTTTGATGTCCAGCTTGGACAGGGGCCGTTTTGCGGTTCTCAGGGGTAGAAACCAACTAGGCGATACCTATAAGTCATATCGGTCCATTCCCAGTGGGAATTTAGTCTTCTCCGCTTTCCAAGCCGTTCGTCCCAAGGAAACATCTGTTTCCGCGTGTCACCGACACCCACTGGTTAGTCCCAGATAGAGTGCAAACCCCGTGTCAGGTGTTTGCGGTGTCCTTTCCGGACTCCGTCATGAAGACTGATCCTCTTGATGAATCCATCCGTTAGCCAACGAGTACCAGGGGTGCTTGGTGTAGCGTCTAGGATGGCCGGTGGAGTGTCCCTGTAGGGCACCGATGGTTTCTGGCAGTGAGGTCAGCGGAGCGGCAAGAGGACAGGCCAAGTGACCTTCTGGGTACGGGAGATTTGTCCTTCAGCCGTGATTGCACAAATGATACCTGGTGCGGCCAGCTGGGGGTCACCCAGTGTGCAAGAGGGGGTCACCCAACAAGCACAAGCATACCATGCAGTATAGGCCAGCAGGGGAGGGGGTCACCCTCAGTCTGAACATAATCGGACACTGTAGGTACAGTGGTGCGGCCAGCTGGGGGTCACCCAGCGTGCAAGAGGGGGTCACCCAACAAGCACAAGCATACCAAGCAGTTTAGGCCAGCAGGGGAGGGGGTCACCCTCAGTCTGAACATAATCGGACACTGTAGGTACAGTGGTGCGGCCAGCTGGGGGTCACCCAGCGTGCAAGAGGGGGTCACCCAACAAGCACAAACATACCATGCAGTTTAGGCCAGCAGGGGAGGGGGTCACCCTCAGTCTGAACATAATCGGACACTGTAGGTACAGTAGTGCCGAAGTGGTTAGCTGTATAATAAAGTAACCAAACATTGCCGGTCCAGCAGTGTAGACGGCAGGAGGGGGTCACCCTCATATAACCAGAACCGGGCATTGCAGATCCAGCAGTGCTGTAGGTAAGAGGGGGTCACCCTCAGTGTGGTATCATAGAGGTCTGTACACCCAGCAGTGTAGTCAGCAAGAGGGGGTCACCCTCATTATGGTTATAACGGGACCCTGTAGGTCCAGCAGAGTAGTCCACAGGAGGGGGTCACCCTCAGTATCTGCGTATTGCAGGGCACTGTAAGAACAGAAGCTCAATCAGTGGGAGGGGTACCCTCTTTTATGGGAATACCCGGACGCTGCAGGTCCTGCAGTGCAGACTGCAGGAGGAGTACCCCCTCGGTATGATAATAGCAGGACATTGCCGGAGCATTAGTATAGGAAGCAGGAGGGGGTCACCCTCAGCATTAATCTTACAGGACGCTGTAGAGCTAGCAGGGTACTCATAGGTAGCCATGTTGCCAGAGGGAGGGGGTCACCCAGCCCACAATGGTGTCACACGTCCATTATTATGGTCCAGTAGCAGGGAGAGCCCCAGAAATATGGATGGGGGGGTTCACCCCCCAGTAATAACAGGTCTGAATGTGAGGCCAGTAGCCCCGCTGAGGGGTAGGAGGATCCATATAGCGAGAAGCTGACTCACAGACCACTCGGGTATTATATTAGGATACACTTTTGAAGTGTATGTGTAGTGGAAAATTTAAGTCCCTTGCAGGAAGGGCAGCAAATCCTAGGCAGGGGAGCTAGGTGCTGAAAAACAGGCCATTAATTTTTATGAGAAAAAGAGGAAGACTTGATTAGCATATAACACATGTGGCACATTCTTGTTAAACAAAGATTTTTATTTGAGCAGTAACATGTCCCTTTAAATCTGAGATTCACATGTAATAGTAAAAAAAAAGTGTGACAAGTCTACTGCTAAGATAGAGAACCTAGTCACATTGCATCAGACATAGTAAGCTGCAGTTGTGAGAGTGCCTGGGACAGATCCTGCTATCCAGGATCTGTTACATATGCAGCATGTGAGACAGGCACAGTAAGTAGAGGGATAGCTGAAAAACTTGGCTATCTCCCCTGATATAGGGAGAGAGGAGGGTGGCCACATGGCCAGCAGGCCAGTTCGTGGGTGAGACCTGGCTGTTCGCAACGCACAGAGCCCATGTGGCTCTGAAAAATGGCCGCCACGGCTCCAACAAAATGGCTGCCGTGGCTGCAAAAACAGAGCGCGGCCTACCGCGTGGTGATCGTGCGGCACTGCAAGCGGCCAGGGGCCACGGGGAGCAGGTGGGGAATAAGGGAGAAGGGTATGGGCGACAGAGCCCAGCAGGGGAACAGATTACAGGCAGAGCCAAAGCATCATAGCAGGGGCACCCATTCCCCATACAGCAGAGTGAGAAAACAGAATAAAGTAACCCAGAATAACAATAAATCAATGAGCAGTATACAGAGTCTATCAGATAAATGGCCTAAATACAGCAACAGATGTTAACAAGTGATACAGCAGCTACATAGCATGAAGTGGTATAGGAAATAACACAGCAATAGACTGCCTAGATAAACACAGCAATAGACTGCCTAGATAAACACAGCAATAGACTGCCTAGATAAACACAGACTGCCTAGATAAACCCAGCAATAGACTGCCTAGATAAACCCAGCAATAGACTGCCTAGATAAACACAGCAATAGACTGCCTAGGTAAACACAGCAATAGACTGCCTAGATAAACACAGCAATAGACTGCCTAGCTAAACCCAGCAATAGACTGCCTAGCTAAACCCAGCAATAGACTGCCTAGCTAAACCCAGCAATAGACTGCCTAGCTAAACCCAGCAATAGACTGCCTAGCTAAACCCAGCAATAGACTGCTAGCTAAACCCAGCAATAGACTGCCTAGCTAAACCCAGCAATAGACTGCCTAGATAAACCCAGCAATAGACTGCCTAGATAAACACAGCAATAGACTGCCTAGCTAAACCCAGCAATAGACTGCCTAGATAAACACAGCAATAGACTGCCTAGCTAAACCCAGCAATAGACTGCCTAGATAAACCCAGCAATAGACTGCCTAGCTAAACCCAGCAATAGACTGCCTAGCTAAACCCAGCAACAGACTGCCTAGCTAAACCCAGCAACAGACTGCCTAGATAATCCCAGCAATAGACTGCCTAGATAAACACAGCAATAGACTGCCTAGATAAATCCCAGCAATAGACTGCCTAGATAAACCCAGCAATAGACTGCCTAGCTAAACCCAGCAATAGACTGCCTAGCTAAACCCAGCAATAGACTGCCTAGCTAAACACAGCAATAGACTGCCTAGATAAACACAGCAATAGACTGCCTAGATAAACACAGCAATAGACTGCCTAGCTAAATCCAGCAATAGACTGCCTAGCTAAACACAGCAATAGACTGCCTAGATAAACACAGCAATAGACTGCCTAGATAAACACAGCAATAGACTGCCTAGATAAACACAGCAATAGACTGCCTAGATAAACCCAGCAATAGACTGCCTAGATAAACACAGCAATAGACTGCCTAGATAAACACAGCAATAGACTGCCTAGATAAACCCAGCAATAGACTGCCTAGCTAAACACAGCCATAGACTGCCTAGATAAACACAGCCATAGACTGCCTAGCTAAATCCAGCAAGAACCCTGCCTAAATAAATCCAGCAATTAAGCTGCCTGAACAAACCTGACACATAGACTGATTAAATAGACTGATTAAATAAACAAACAAGCAGCATGTAGAATAAAACAACAACCAAGAGCAGAGACAACTCTGAGTTGGTGAGTGCTCACCTGGAGGCGGCAGCAGCAAAGAAAGAGGAAGTGGAAGAGCCTGCTTAGGGGTTTTATACTACTGTTGCTTTGTTCTGATTGGTTGTTTTGAAAAGTTCTGTTAACTGTTTCTTTGCTGCTGGAGGTTTCAGTAAAGAAGGTAAAGCAAATATGAAGCCTCCTGTCCTGCCATAAAATCCTAATGGTGTAAAAGTTAGTTTTATAAAAATATAAAAGAAAATAGGAGTGGGGTAGCTTTGAGAGGGAGCACCAAAATGGCCACCAGAACATGTTACTTTGGGACTTCCTCAGGAGCTTCTCATACAGACGAAACGCGTTGAGCATCATTTGGACCCTGCAGTTTGGTATTAGCAGTTTCTTTTTACATGTCTTTTTATTGCAAAGGATTTTGTGGGCAGTATTTGTTTTTATCATCTACTATATTGATGGGAGTTGTGCTCTCTCACTCTGCCTGATTGTCTGCACTTTAGCATTTGCACTTTTGAGTTTGCATGTTATATAGAACTGCTTTGCCTATGGGTCTTTTAGCCTATTATGGCTTTTTATATATATATATATATTTTTTTTTTAATTATTGCACATTGTTAGTGCTGATAATATATGTATTGTTCTCAATAAATTGTGTTATTTTAATCTCACTTTAACCCTTATTTACCCATTTGGTGAATGTGGCGCCCTGTAATTTCTGTGTCTTGTATTGTATTATTAAGGTTGGAGTGACCTTTTATACAGAGGCTAGCCTGCACCGGGTTTTCACTACCCTTTACCCAACTTTATTTTCTTTAGAGATCACTGGTAATGCCAGGTTAGAGATCACTGGTAATGCCAGATTAGAGATCACTGGAAATACCAGGTTAGAGATCAGTGGTAATACCAGGTTAGAGATCACTGGTAATGCCAAGTTAGAGATCACTGGTAATGCCAGGTTAGAGATCACTGGTAATACCAGGTTAGAGATCACTGGTAAAGCCAAGTTAAAGATCACTGGTAATGCCAGGTTAGAGATCAGTGGTAATACCAGGTTAGAGATCACTGGTAATGCCAAGTTAGAGATCACTGGTAATGCCAGGTTAGAGATCACTGGTAATACCAGGTTAGAGATCACTGGTAAAGCCAAGTTAAAGATCACTGGTAATGCCAGGTTAGAGATCAGTGGTAATACCAGGTTAGAGATCACTGGTAATGCCAAGTTAGAGATCACTGGTAATGCCAGGTTAGAGATCACTGGTAATGCCAGGTTAGAGATCACTGGTAATACCAGGTTAGAGATCACTGGTAAAGCCAAGTTAGAGATCACTGGTAATGCCAGGTTAGAGATCACTGGTAATGCCAGGTTAGAGATCACTGGTAATGCCAAGTTAGAGATCACTGGTAATGCCAGGTTAGAGATCACTGGTAATGCCAGGTTAGAGATCACTGGTAATACCAGGTTAGAGATCAGTGGTAATGTCAGGTTAGAGATCACTGGTAATGCCAGGTTAGAGATCACTGGTAATGCCAAGTTAGAGATCACTGGTAATGCCAGGTTAGAGATCACTGGTAATACCAGGTTAGAGATCACTGGTAATGCCAGGTTAGAGATCACCGGTAATATCAGGTTAGAGATCACTGGTAATACCAAGTTAGGGATCACTGGTAATGCCAGGTTAGAGATCACTGGTAATGCCAGTAATGCCAGGTTAGATATCACTGGTAATACCAAGTGTAACAGAACTATGCTTGTGCCTGGACTTATTTATCAATACAGTTGGATTTACTAAAAACCGAATAACTATTTCATGGGAAATACCATTACAGCGAATGCAGCTCAAACTACCGAACATCGGACCACCCAGGGGCACAGTTAAGTGGTATTTTACCTCCCAGTGCTTTTGGAGCCATTTACATGGTTTCACACGAATCCTTTGTGCTCAGAATAGATGGCCGCCATTTCGGGACTTTACACGTGTTTGCGGCCATCTTACGCACGAACAGCGGTGTTTGCCCGTGAACGCATGGAACTAAAAACGGACACGCAAACAGGCGAACACCGCTGAGACCTCCATGAGCCCATAACTTCGTGCTGGAACTACCGAACGACCGGCCGTTCGGTAGTTATGCTTAAGCTCACATAGGGATTTCAGCGAACACCAGTGTGACTGTGGATGACAAGGGGTTCGTGGGGTTTTAATGCACGAACGGAGACCGACCGCAAGGCCAAAACTTATGGAACTCTTTTCGGCTAGAGAATCTGTGCGGTCAGTCAAAACTTCAAAGACCCATAACTCCCGAACCCCTCAACTGAATGAGCTGGAATTTGGATATGTTGTTCCCCTGAATGAGAGCTATCAAGCAGTACCCTCTGTTTTTGGGGTACATCCAGAACTTGAGTAAAATTGTGTATGTTTTAATTGTGTTACATGTTTATCTGAGGGGAGGAGATGTGGGGGTTGTACCATGTGTATGATTGGTTATTGTGATAATTATGTGGGTGTAGCCTTTTTCAGGGCACCATTGTATAAAAGGAGACCCCTGTCAATAAACGTCAGTTCTACTTGACCCTTCAAAACGTAGCCACGTCTCGTTCTTGGAGGGGATTTATTGTACAGTTACTCTGCCTCATTTTACAGCGATGCCTGATTGTACTCCTGGATATCGTGGATGGGAATAAGAACTCCATTACTTCACAGCAGCTTGCCTAGAAAAGGACGTTCCAACGGCTGATACCCCTTCCCAGCTGGGTAGCCGTTACACCAAGTTAGAGATCACTGGTAATGCCAGGTTAGAGATCACTGGTAATACCAGGTTAGAGATCACTGGTAAGAGATCACTGGTAATGCCAGGTTAGAGATCACTGGTAATACCAGGTTAGAGATCAGTGGTAATGCCAGGTTAGAGATCACTGGTAATGCCAGATTAGAGATCACTGGAAATACCAGGTTAGAGATCAGTGGTAATACCAGGTTAGAGATCACTGGTAATGCCAAGTTAGAGATCACTGGTAATGCCAGGTTAGAGATCACTGGTAATGCCAGGTTAGAGATCACTGGTAATGCCAGGTTAGAGATCACTGGTAATACCAGGTTAGAGATCACTGGTAAAGCCAAGTTAGAGATCACTGGTAATGCCAGGTTAGAGATCAGTGGTAATGCCAGGTTAGAGATCACTGGTAATGCCAAGTTAGAGATCACTGGTAATGCCAGATTAGAGATCACTGGTAATACCAGGTTAGAGATCACTGGTAAAGCCAAGTTAGAGATCACTGGTAATGCCAGGTTAGAGATCAGTGGTAATGCCAGGTTAGAGATCACTGGTAATGCCAAGTTAGAGATCACTGGTAATGCCAGGTTAGAGATCACTGGTAATGCCAGGTTAGAGATCACTGGTAATGCCAGGTTAGAGATCACTGGTAATACCAGGTTAGAGATCAGTGGTAATGTCAGGTTAGAGATCACTGGTAATGCCAGGTTAGAGATCACTGGTAATGCCAAGTTAGTGATCACTGGTAATGCCAGGTCAGAGATCACTGGTAATACCAGGTTAGAGATCACTGGTAATGCCAGGTTAGAGATCACCGGTAATATCAGGTTAGAGATCACTGGTAATACCAAGTTAGGGATCACTGGTAATGCCAGGTTAGAGATCACTGGTAATGCCAGTAATGCCAGGTTAGATATCACTGGTAATACCAAGTGTAACAGAACTATGCTTGTGCCTGGACTTATTTATCAATACAGTTGGATTTACTAAAAACCGAATAACTATTTCATGGGAAATACCATTACAGCGAATGCAGCTCAAACTACCAAACATCGGACCACCCAGGGGCACAGTTAAGTGGTATTTTACCTCCCAGTGCTTTTGGAGCCGTTTACATGGTTTCACACGAATCCTTTGTGCTCAGAATAGATGGCCGCCATTTCGGGACTTTACACGTGTTCGCGGCCATCTTACGCACGAACAGCGGTGTTTGCCCGTGAACGCATGGAACTAAAAACGGACACGCAAACAGGCGAACACCGCTGAGACCTCCATGAGCCCATAACTTCGTGCTGGAACTACCGAACGACCGGCCGTTCGGTAGTTATGCTTAAGCTCACATAGGGATTTCAGCGAACACCAGTGTGACTGTGGATGACAAGGGGTTCGTGGGGTTTTAATGCACGAACGGAGACCGACCGCAAGGCCAAAACTTATGGAACTCTTTTCGGCTAGAGAATCTGTGCGGTCAGTCAAAACTTCAAAGACCCATAACTCCCGAACCCCTCAACTGAATGAGCTGGAATTTGGATATGTTGTTCCCCTGAATGAGAGCTATCAAGCAGTACCCTCTGTTTTTGGGGTACATCCAGAACTTGAGTAAAATTGTGTATGTTTTAATTGTGTTACATGTTTATCTGAGGGGAGGAGATGTGGGGGTTGTACCATGTGTATGATTGGTTATTGTGATAATTATGTGGGTGTAGCCTTTTTCAGGGCACCATTGTATAAAAGGAGACCCCTGTCAATAAACGTCAGTTCTACTTGACCCTTCAAAACGTAGCCACGTCTCGTTCTTGGAGGGGATTTATTGTACAGTTACTCTGCTTCATTTTACAGCGATGCCTGATTGTACTCCTGGATATCGTGGATGGGAATAAGAACTCCATTACTTCACAGCAGCTTGCCTAGAAAAGGACGTTCCAACGGCTGATACCCCTTCCCAGCTGGGTAGCCGTTACACCAAGTTAGAGATCACTGGTAATGCCAGGTTAGAGATCACTGGTAATACCAGGTTAGAGATCACTGGTAAGAGATCACTGGTAATGCCAGGTTAGAGATCACTGGTAATACCAGGTTAGAGATCAGTGGTAATGCCAGGTAATGCCAGGTTAGAGATCACCAATAATATCAGGTTAGAGATCACTGGTAATGCCAGTAATGCTAGGTTAGAAATCACTGGTAATACCAAGTTAGAGATCAGTGGTAATGCCAGGTAATGCCAGGTTAAAGATCACCGGTAATATCAGGTTAGATATCACTGGTAATACCAAGTTAGAGATCACTGGTAATGCCAGGTTAGAGATCACTGGTAATGCCAGTAATGCCAGGTTAGATATCACTGGTAATACCAAGTTAGAGATCACTGGTAATGCCAGGTTAGAGATCACTGGTAATACCAAGTGTAAAAGAACTATGCTTGTGCCTGGACTTATTTATCAATACAGTTGGATTTACTAAAAACTGAGTAACTATTTCATGGGAAATACCATTACCGCGAATGCAGCTCAAACTACCGAACATCGGACCACCCAGGGGCACAGTTAAGTGGTATTTTACCTCCCAGTGCTTTTGGAGCAGTTTGCATGGTTTCACACGAATCCTTTGTGCTCAGAATAGATGGCCGCCATTTTGGGACTTTACACGTGTTCGCGGCCATCTTACGCACGAACAGCGGTGTTTGCCCGTGAACGCATGGAACTAAAAACGGACACGCAAACAGGCGAACACCGCTGAGACCTCCATGAGCCCATAACTTCGTGCTGGAACTACCGAACGACCGGCCGTTCGGTAGTTATGCTTAAGATCACATAGGGATTTCAGCGAACACCAGTGTGACTGTGGATGGCAAGGGGTTCGTGGGGTTTTAATGCACGAACGGAGACCGACCGCAGGGCCAAAACTTATGGAACTCTTTTCGGCTAGAGAATCTGTGCGGTCAGTCAAAACTTCAAAGACCCATAACTCCCGAACCCCTCAACTGAATGAGCTGGAATTTGGATATGTTGTTCCCCTGAATGAGAGCTATCAAGCAGTACCCTCTGTTTTTGGGGTACATCCAGAACTTGAGTAAAATTGTGTATGTTTTAATTGTGTTACATGTTTATCTGAGGGGAGGAGACGTGGGGGTTGTACCATGTGTATGATTGGTTATTGTGATAATTATGTGGGTGTAGCCTTTTTCAGGGCACCATTGTATAAAAGGAGACCCCTGTCAATAAACGTCAGTTCTACTTGACCCTTCAAAACGTAGCCACGTCTCGTTCTTGGAGGGGATTTATTGTACAGTTACTCTGCCTCATTTTACAGCGATGCCTGATTGTACTCCTGGATATCGTGGATGGGAATAAGAACTCCATTACTTCACAGCAGCTTGCCTAGAAAAGGACGTTCCAACGGCTGATACCCCTTCCCAGCTGGGTAGCCGTTACACCAAGTTAGAGATCACTGGTAATGCCAGGTTAGAGATCACTGGTAATACCAGGTTAGAGATCACTGGTAAGAGATCACTGGTAATGCCAGGTTAGAGATCACTGGTAATACCAGGTTAGAGATCAGTGGTAATGCCAGGTAATGCCAGGTTAGAGATCACCAATAATATCAGGTTAGAGATCACTGGTAATGCCAGTAATGCTAGGTTAGAAATCACTGGTAATACCAAGTTAGAGATCAGTGGTAATGCCAGGTAATGCCAGGTTAAAGATCACCGGTAATATCAGGTTAGATATCACTGGTAATACCAAGTTAGAGATCACTGGTAATGCCAGGTTAGAGATCACTGGTAATACCAGTAATGCCAGGTTAGATATCACTGGTAATACCAAGTTAGAGATCACTGGTAATGCCAGGTTAGAGATCACTGGTAATACCAAGTGTAACAGAACTATGCTTGTGCCTGGACTTATTTATCAATACAGTTGGATTTACTAAAAACTGAATAACTATTTCATGGGAAATACCATTACCGCGAATGCAGCTAAAACTACCGAACATCGGACCACCCAGGGGCACAGTTAAGTGGTATTTTACCTCCCAGTGCTTTTGGAGCAGTTTGCATGGTTTCACACGAATCCTTTGTGCTCAGAATAGATGGCCGCCATTTCGGGACTTTACACGTGTTCGCGGCCATCTTACGCACGAACAGCGGTGTTTGCCCGTGAACGCATGGAACTAAAAACGGACACGCAAACAGGCGAACACCGCTGAGACCTCCATGAGCCCATAACTTCGTGCTGGAACTACCGAACGACCGGCCGTTCGGTAGTTATGCTTAAGCTCACATAGGGATTTCAGCGAACACCAGTGTGACTGTGGATGGCAAGGGGTTCGTGGGGTTTTAATGCACGAACGGAGACCGACCGCAAGGCCAAAACTTATGGAACTCTTTTCGGCTAGAGAATCTGTGCGGTCAGTCAAAACTTCAAAGACCCATAACTCCCGAACCCCTCAACTGAATGAGCTGGAATTTGGATATGTTGTTCCCCTGAATGAGAGCTATCAAGCAGTACCCTCTGTTTTTGGGGTACATCCAGAACTTGAGTAAAATTGTGTATGTTTTAATTGTGTTACATGTTTATCTGAGGGGAGGAGACGTGGGGGTTGTACCATGTGTATGATTGGTTATTGTGATAATTATGTGGGTGTAGCCTTTTTCAGGGCACCATTGTATAAAAGGAGACCCCTGTCAATAAACGTCAGTTCTACTTGACCCTTCAAAACGTAGCCACGTCTCGTTCTTGGAGGGGATTTATTGTACAGTTACTCTGCCTCATTTTACAGCGATGCCTGATTGTACTCCTGGATATCGTGGATGGGAATAAGAACTCCATTACTTCACAGCAGCTTGCCTAGAAAAGGACGTTCCAACGGCTGATACCCCTTCCCAGCTGGGTAGCCGTTACACCAAGTTAGAGATCACTGGTAATGCCAGGTTAGAGATCACTGGTAATACCAGGTTAGAGATCACTGGTAATACCAGGTTAGAGATCAGTGGTAATGCCAGGTAATGCCAGGTTAGAGATCACCAATAATATCAGGTTAGAGATCACTGGTAATGCCAGTAATGCTAGGTTAGAGATCACTGGTAATACCAAGTTAGAGATCAGTGGTAATGCCAGGTTAGAGGTGTGGCGGCCCCCTGATGGGAATAGTTCTTTTCCCCCTAGTGTGAGGGACGCTGTAATGCAGAGCAGGAACAGCTCTTACAAGAGCTAGTGATATAGCACTCCATGTAGAAGGGAGACAGCTGTTATAGCTTTTCCCCCACAAACATGAGACGAGGCTCTATGCTGTGGCACAGCTGGTTTTCATGGGGCCACACACGTCCTTTTATGTCAGTCCCCATGCAAGGGGTTTCCTGTTACATATTCCAGGGGAGCTCCACACTGGACCTGAGTAGACTACATTAAAACATACACATACCCTGGCTCTCAGGTCCAGGATACTTGCACACAAAATAGGGTAATCCCTTCCCTGGGCCTGAGAGATAATTAAGTTAGAAACTGCACTAAACTCGATTATCTCCAGGCACAGATAACATACATTTTATCAATATCCCAAATGTCAGGTAAAGAAATATATACAGTGAATGGGATAGAGATAAATGAGTGTGGAGGCAGGAAATGCTACAGACCACCTGAGTGGGAATCCCTTATACCACTCTGAGAAATATAAAAATACAATACATACAATAGGCGGATCACACGTCTTGATGCATCTAAAAGAGATACAAAATAATATAGTTCTATATTGCCAGTATATATGATACACTGCTCAAAAAAATAAAGGTCATACAAATTGTAACATGCGGAGAGACACTTAATATAATTACTACCACAATTATGGGTGCTACTCCAACAAGGTACTCCCTCCAATACCAATAAACAAATACTCAAAAAGAAAGGAATGCACACCAACTGATACAATAGTATCTAACTAAATATATTTATTATAATGCAATGCAAATATTACATACAAAAAATGTAACAATCTGATAGTGACCAAATAGGCAAAAAAAAGGCTAAACCATATAATTACCAAATCTCACAAGCCTATATGGGCAGAAACACGAGTCACAAACAGTCCCCCAACGTTTCGGCTCCTCCTGGTAGCCTTTATCAAGGGTAGCTATATCATAGCATCATCCAGGAAACCATTATATACACATATACAACTTACTAATTACTTACAGCTGATGGCCATCAGTGATGTCACAAAGAGCCAAGACCGGAAGTGACATCATCACTTCAGATCATAGCCCTGTATAAAAAATTAAATAACATACATAGTTATTGTACATTCCCAATGTTATTCCCAAACTGACTGCCTCATTGATGCAAAAAATGTCCCACTACTGTACAATCCACGAACCTTCTCGCCAGTCTAAATGAAACGCGCATGCGCAATACAAACAAAAACGATCACCACATCGTCCACCGGCACCACAAACATACCAACATTAATATACTCCACATAACCCCAAGGAAATACCAAGCACTAAAGCTCTACATAAACAATAGCAAAAACGCGCATTTCACCTTATTGTGCTCGGCCAATCATACCGGGATTCCCTTCCTACGGAAGCCTCCGAGATCCACATCTAATAGAAAGTCGCATCAAAAGAGCGCCGCGCCGCTCGCGCATGCGCATCCCCCAAATTAAAGGAATGTATACAAATTGTCAATACACTGACCAGCTCTCTTAAAGGGAAAATATCATAAACATAAGAATTACTTCCAATATAACATAATAAGTGTATAAATGGTCCTGTAGTATAGCAGAGCAAATAAATAATATCTATAACAGTGAAATTACCTCCACCAAAAAATTACCACCAAAATAATATATAATTACTATACTAAACTAGTGTTTATACATCCATTATATACAAAACATACATCCAGCACCCACCAAACGATCAAATCACTCCCCAAAAGGGAAATGTAATACAAAAGAAACAGGTACATATGTATTATTTAAAACCTTCTATGTACAACTACCAAATTTTATTAGATCTACTACCATCATCTCGATACTAACTCATCATATTATTCAACAACTTTTGGTAACATCAGCATACAACGCTTCTTCTTGAATGGTAAAAAACCTACATATCCATTAGCAATCATATACATAAGGATAATCAATCCAAATTATAACAATATCCAATAGATCACATCGTCGTCATCCAATCGCAGATCCAATAAATGAATCCAGATACAGGCTGCATCCATCCATATTACTAAACGTTCTTAACGAGATCCAATGTCCACAAAAGAAGTTATACATCATACATGCTGTAGTCCAGGTCCCCATTACATAAAATATCCAAATGGAGATCCATACACGATCTAGATGAAAATAAACACCAATTAAAAACAATATCAATGATATAAACACTACTCAGGCAGAGTGGATAAACCAGCCTCTCTAAACGAGGCTATAACAAAGGAGAGAGATCACGTTCTTCATTAAGACCCTTAGGGAATAGAACTTGCAACTCATAAATCCAAAATAATTCCCGCTGCTTCAATAGCATTTCCCTGGATCCACCTCTTCTCAGCGGTTTCACTACCTCTAGAATCGAATATCTCAATTGTGACACCATATGTCGCATCTCCACAAAATGCCTCGCCACTGGATATTGAATCTTCCCAGTACGAATACTACTCTTATGTTCCCCTATCCTAATGGTGAATTTTCTTGTGGTCTCCCCAACATAGGCTAAGCCACAAGGGCATTTTAGCATGTAAACTACAAACTCTGTTTGACAGTTACAAAAATCCCGAATGGGATATTGCTTCCCAGATCTAGGGTGAAAAAAGGAATCACCCAGAATTACCCCATTACAGTTCACACAATGTCCACATTTGTACATACCAACAGGCATTCTAAGCCATGATTCCTTAGTCCCACTCTTTCCTTGGACTTCCACATTCCGCATTAAATGATCGCGAAAATTTCTGTGTCTTTTAAAAGAAAACAAAAGTTTCTCGTTAAAACAGGTCCTAATTTTGGGATCTGATTGTAATATGTTCCAATGCTGATTCACAATATGTTTAATCTCCTTCGAATGTTCAGAATAGGTGGTAACACATGGTATCCTCATGTTCCTATCTTTAGCTTTTTTAATTAAAAGCTGTTCCCTGGCCAATAATCTAGCCTGAATCTTACATTCCATCAAAGTATCCTTCTCATAACCCCTTGAGGTAAATGCCTGCACCAATTCATCTGCCCGTCTATCATAATCCGTATCACGTGATGTAATTCGTCGAGTTCTAATAAATTGCCCATATGGTAATTTTCGCAAAAATTGTGGTGGATGGAAACTATCAGCATGTAAATATGATGCGCGATCAGTGGGTTTCTGATAAAGATCAAAGCTCAATTGTCCTTCACTTACCTCCATAGATACATCCAAAAAGTGCATCTGATGCATATCATATTCTATAGTGAAAGATATCGTATCCAATTGATTATCCAATCTTTCCTTAAAACAGAGTAACTCTTCAACCGTACCTGTCCAAAAAAAGAAAATATCATCTATGTAGCGCACCCAATTCAACACAAATTTTGTAAAAAATGGATCAGGATATACAAATGCATCCTCAAACGCCGCCATAAATAAATTGGCATATGTAGGGGCCACATTAGACCCCATCGCAGTGCCCTGTATCTGCAAGTAAAACTTGCCCTCAAATGTAAAATAATTCTTATGCAATACCAGTGTCAATAACTCCAACAAAAAATCTCTATACGCTTCACTAATTTCCAGTGCTTGCATTGCTCCAAATACTGCCTCAATACCTTCTTCGTGTGGGATCGACGTATAGAGACTGTTAATGTCCATGGTGCATAATAATGCTCCTTCAGGAATCATACTGACACATTCTAGTTTCTTAATAAAATCTGTCGTATCTTGCACAAATGAGCGCATATTGAAGACCAGAGATTGCAAATGTATATCAACAAATTTTGATAATGGTTGTAAAACCGATCCACATCCTGACACTATAGGGCGACCAGGAGGGTACCTCAAGTTCTTATGTATCTTCGGTAGCAGGTAAATAAAAGGGATTTTGGGATAATCCGTATTCAAAAAATTATAATCCCTTCTCTCAATTAACTGTTTCTCCAAGGCCACACCTGTAATTACCTTAATTCGCTCCTTTAACTCACCTGTAGGATCATATCCCAAAATTCTATAGTGACTTCCATTGGTCAATTGACGATTCATCTCAGCAACGTATTCACTCGTATTCATCACCACCAATGCTCCACCCTTGTCAGCAGGTCTAATAGAAATGGTAACGTCTTTTCTCAGTCCCATAAGTGTAGCATGTTCATGCCTACTCAAATTCGGCTTCCCCTTCTTCTTCCAATTAATTTTATCCATATCCATCTGACATAATTTGATAAATGTTTCCACGCTCGCATTAATGGAAGGAGGAAGGAACATGCTCTTAGGCTTACACTTATGCCTATCAAATTTAGAAGACTCAGCCATCTTAACCCCTTCTTGAACTATAGGGGTATCCTGTAATTGAAAAAAACTTTTTAAACGTATAGTCCGAAAAAAACGTTCCATCTCTATGTCCATAGTGAGCTTATCACCACTAAAGGTGGGTACAAACCCAAAACCTTTTTCCAAGACACTCACCTCGGCTTGAGATAAAACTCTGTCAGAAATATTCACTACCAGTGTTTCCGCTGTTGTCTCATGCGCCCCGGATATCTCCTCTTTGGTTCGGTCACAGTTGGCACCGGTCTGTGTGTGTCTCCTCGACCTCTTACCACGTCTCCTCCTAGGGGTGCCCCTAAAAAAGCACTTCTTCCAGATTCAGATTCTCCAGAAGAAACCTCTGGACCTGACACACTAATATCAGAATTATCTTTTTTACTACGCCTTTGAAAATAGCGCCCAGAATGTGTTTGCCGCCAAGTATACACTTTATCTTCCAAGTAATCAACAGTATCCCTTCGAAACTTATCCAATTTCCTCTCTAGAATCTCTTCTCTATACTTTGGTAATTTAACCGATATTGCAGCAAGTTTTTCAAAAAAATAAAGGTAACACTTAACCCCTTAAGGACTGAGCCAAATGTACACGTTGTGAACAAAACAAAATGTAAACAAAACCTGGCATTTGCGCTACATGTCTGTCCAACCGTAATTCACCTCTTTCATAGTAAATGCACCCACCCTTATTATATATCATTTTATTCAGGGGAAACAGGGCTTTCATTTAATATCAAATATTTAGCTCTGAAACATAATTTAATATGAAAAAAATGGGAGAAAATAAGATTTTGATTTTTTTAGTTCTACATGACATTTTAACGGTCAATGTCATAATACTGTTTGCTTTTACTGCAATAAAATACACATATTTATATTCAGTAAAGTCTCACGTGTAAGACAGTACCCCCTATGTACAGGTTTTATGGCGTTTTGGGAAGTTACAGGGTCAAATATAGCACGTTACATTTGAAATTGAAATTCGCCAGATTGGTTACGTTGCCTTTGAGACTGTATAGTAGCCCGGAATGAAATTTACACCCATAATGGCATACCATTTGCAATAGTAGACAACCCAAGGTATTGCAAATGGGGTATGTCCAGTCTTTTTTAGTAGCCATTTGGTCACAAACACTGGCCAAAGTTAGCATTAGTATTTGTTTGTGTGTGAAAAATGCAAAAAATGCCAATTTTGGCCAGTGTTTGTGACTAAGTGGCTACTAAAAAAGACTGGACATACCCTGTTTGCAATACCTTGGGTTGTCTACTATTGCAAATGGTATGCCATCATAGGGGTAATTTTCATTCTTGGGCTACCATAGGGTCTCAAAGGCAACGTAACCAATCTGGCGAATTTTAATGTGAAAAAAATGAAACGCAAGCCTTATATTTGACGCTGTAACTTTTGAAAACACCATAAAACCTGTACATGAGGGGTACTGTTGTACTCGGGAGACTTCGCTGAACACAAATATTTGTGTTTCAAAACAGTAAAAAGTATCACAGCAATAATATTGTCCGTGTAATGCTGTTTGTGCGTGAAAAATGCAAAAAACTTCACTTTTACTGGCGATATCATCGTTGTAATACATTTTACTGTTTTGAAACACTAATATTTGTGTTCAGCGAAGTCTCCTGAGTAGAACAGTACCCCATATGCAGGGCCGTCTTTAACGCGGGGCAAACGGGGCAGCTGCCCCGGGCCCAGTTACTCTTGGGGGGCCCAAGGCAGCTTCCCCGTGGGCCCCGCTGCCCTCAACAATTGTTTCTCCCATGGGGCCACCGGCCCCCACATTAAGCAGGCCACCGGTTGGGTATTGTAAGCAGGGGCCCGGTCACACACTGTACCACTTTAACAGCGCGACCGGGCCCTTTGCTTTTCGGCAGCGCTGGGAGGAAGTGACGGCTGCGAGTCACTTCCTCCCACTGAGGAGAGGAGCCGCGCGGGAGACGAAGGAGGGACCCTTGCCAGGAGAGGCAGATCCCAACAGCCTTCAGTCTGGATACCTGGGGAACCACCTTCCAAGGTAGGAAACTTGTGGGTGGGTTTAAAAGTGTAAATTTATGTCAGTATGTCTGTCTGTGTATGTTTGTGTCAGTATGTCTGTCAGTGTATGTTTGTGTCAGTATGTCTGTCAGTGTATGTGTTTGTGTCAGTATGTATGTCAGTGTATGTTTATGTCAGTATGTCTGTCTGTGTTTGTGTCAGTATGTCTTTCAGTGTATGTTTGTCAGTATGTCTGTCAGTATGTTTGTGTCAGTATGTATGTCAGTGTATGTTTATGTCAGTATGTCTGTCTGTGTTTGTGTCAGTATGTCTATCAGTGTATGTTTGTCAGTATGTCTGTCAGTATGTTTGTGTCAGTATGTCTGTCAGTGTATGTGTTTGTCAGTATGTATGTCAGTGTATGTTTATGTCAGTATGTCTGTCTGTGTTTGTGTCAGTATGTCTTTCAGTGTATGTTTGTGTCAGTATGTCTGTCAGTGTATGTGTTTATGTCATTATGTATGTCAGTGTATGTTTATGTCAGTATGTCTGTCTGTGTTTGTGTCAGTATGTCTGTCATTGTATGTTTATGTCAGTATGTCTGTCTGTGTTTGTGTCAGTATGTCTTTCAGTGTATGTTTGTGTCAGTATGTCTGTCAGTGTATGTGTTTGTGTCAGTATGTATGTCAGTGTATGTTTATGTCAGTATGTCTGTCAGTGTATGTGTTTGTGTCAGTATGTATGTCAGTGTATGTTTATGTCAGTATGTCTGTCTGTGTTTGTGTCAGTATGTCTTTCAGTGTATGTTTGTCAGTATGTCTGTCAGTGTATGTTTATGTCAGTATGTCTGTTAGTGTATGTGTCTGTGCTTGTGTCAGTATGTCTGTCGGTGTATGTGTCAGTATGTCTGTCTGTGTATGTCAGTATGTCTGTTATTGTATGTGTCTGTGTATGTCAGTATGTCTGTTATTGTATGTGTCTGTATGTGTGTCAGTATGTCTGTCATTGTATGTCTTTGTGTATGTGTGTCAGTATATGTGTCTGCATATGTCAGTATGTCTGTAGTGTATGTTTCTGTGTGTGTGTCAGTATGTCTGTCAATGTGTCTGTCAGTGTGTGTGTCAGCGTGTGTGTCAGTATGTCTGTCAGTGTATGTCTCTGTGTATGTGTGTTAGTATGTCTGGCAGGGGGCAGAGTCCAGGGGCCCCAAGCAAATGGTTGCCCAGTGTCCGGTCAATATTAAAGACGGCCCTGCCCATATGTACAGGTTTTATGGTGTCTCGGAAAGTTATAGGGTTAAATATAGTGCTAGCAAATTAAATTCCCTTTACTTTCGGCATGGGTTGTCAGGCAGGTCCTGCTAATTGTAATTAATTAAGATACCTAATTATGTAAAAATATTACATAAATATATATGTAGAATTAATATATATATATATATATATACGTATGTGTATATATATGTATATATCTATATAATTTTAAAAAAATATTTTTATTTATATATAGGTATATATATAGTGATATATATGTATATATTTATGTATATAGATATATATATTATTTCGTTCTACGTGTATTTTGATATATATATATATATAGCCAAAAGTACAAGATAGCACTCCAGGGACTTCCAAGTTGAATGAATAAAACTTAGCTTTTATTAGCTCAAAATAAAAATCAACGTTTCAGTCTGTATCACAGACTTTCATCAGGATGAGCTTGCAGATCAAATCCATAAGAATATATCCCCCCAATATCCCCATAACTTACCCAGGTTACCCAAGATAGGAGTGATCCCAGGGGCACCTGACCAGCAGCCTGCGCAGGTCAAATAATTGACACTGATGATGTCATAGACGTGCGCCTCCCGGGGTTGTTCCCATAGCAACCCAGTATAACCAACAAAATAATACATATACATATAACTAAAAACATAGCCTGCATACAGGAATAAAATATAAATATTGAAGAAAGACCTATACACCCCATCAGGGGCCATTTAGATACAGAGACAATCCATAGAGAACACGTTAGAGATAGACAGCAGGCAGAACTAATCGAAAAGCGATCAAACTGCAATTAGCCTGTAGCAACCTATTAACAAGATATAAATATACAAACTGTACTACCTAAGGAATAGATAATGCATAAAGAAGACATGTAACTTATACTACAAATACAAAAATAAAAATAAAATGCAGGCATGAGCAATCAAACCTGCAGAGATTCCAATCTAACTACTGGGAGCAACGTACCAACAAACAGCAATTGAAAGCATAATTGTACCAAGAGTAATGTATCACTCCGAATCCTTAGATATCATTATACAGGTAAAAAGAATAGTAAAGGATATACGTCGTCAGAACTTCTTAGTGAAAAAAGGGAGAAAACATGAAAAGACGATACCAGATAAATGTGATTAAATATCCACCAACTAAACCTATGGGGAAAAAAACGTAATGCACAACAACAAGAAGATACGAATATAGCCACTAATAGAGCTGCAGTGATCTAAGGAGGAGAGGGTACCAAGAATGACTGGTGTACTCCCAGTCTAGTCCAACATGAACACATAAATAAATATATAAATAAACACATAAATAAATACATAAATAAATACATAAATAAACACATAAATAAATACATAAATAAATACATAAATAAACACATAAATAAATACATAAATAAATACATAAATAAACACATAAATAAATACATAAATAAATACATAAATAAACACATAAATAAATACATAAATAAATACATAAATAAATACATAAATAAACACATAAATAAATACATAAATAAACACATAAATAAATACATAAATAAATACATAAATAAATACATAAATAAACACATAAATAAATACATAAATAAACACATAAATAAATACATAAATAAATACATAAATAAATACATAAATAAACACATAAATAAATACATAAATAACTCAAACACTCAAGCAGCAGAGCAAAGAACCAATGTATCCCCGAATCTATATAGACTGGCATAAATCACATAATGCATACAGAATACAAAATAATACAAGCGAAGGACATAAAGCAGAGGTCCTTAACAAAATCACATTGTTATAGATATATAATAATAATCCTATTAGCACTGTGTGGAATGGGTAATAGAGACGCCTATCCCCCCAAGATCAAACCCTAAACCCGTCCGCCATCAGACAGATGGGGGATAGGCATCTCAGCCATTCTTAATTTCAGCCTAAGGCTCTAATGCATTTTGTGCTTCTTACTAAAAAAACTAAAAAAATCTTTAGGAGGATTCATGTTATCTGTCTGATGGCGGACGGGTTTAGGGTTTGATCTTGGGGGGATAGGCGTCTCTATTACCCATTCCACACAGTGCGAATAGGATTATTACTATATATCTATAACAATGTGATTTTGTTAAGGACCTCTGCTTTATGTCCTTCGCTTGTATTATTTTGTATTCTGTATGCATTATGTGATTTATGCCAGTCTATATAGATTCGGGGATACATTGGTTCTTTGCTCTGCTGCCTGAGTGTTTGAGTTATTTATGTATTTATTTATGTATTTATTTATGTATTTATTTATGTGTTTATTTATGTATTTATTTATGTGTTTATTTATGTATTTATTTATGTATTTATTTATGTGTTTATTTATGTATTTATTTATGTGTTTATTTATGTGTTTATGTATTTATTTATGTATTTATTTATGTGTTTATTTATGTATTTATTTATGTATTTATTTATGTGTTTATTTATGTATTTATTTATGTATTTATTTATGTATTTATTTATGTGTTTATTTATGTATTTATTTATGTGTTTATTTATGTATTTATTTATGTATTTATTTATGTATTTATTTATGTGTTTATTTATGTATTTATTTATGTGTTTATTTATGTATTTATTTATGTATTTATTTATGTATTCATTTATGTATTCATTTATGTGTTTATTTATGTATTTATTTATGTATTTATTTATGTGTTTATTTATGTATTTATTTATGTATTTATTTATGTGTTTATTTATGTATTTATTTATGTGTTTATTTATGTATTTATTTATGTATTTATTTATGTATTTATTTATGTGTTTATTTATGTATTTATTTATGTATTTATTTATGTGTTTATTTATGTATTTATTTATGTGTTTATTTATGTATTTATTTATGTATTTATTTATGTGTTTATTTATGTATTTATTTATATATTTATTTATGTGTTCATGTTGGACTAGACTGGGAGTACACCAGTCATTCTTGGTACCCTCTCCTCCTTAGATCACTGCAGCTCTATTAGTGGCTATATTCGTATCTTCTTGTTGTTGTGCATTACGTTTTTTTCCCCATAGGTTTAGTTGGTGGATATTTAATCACATTTATCTGGTATCGTCTTTTCATGTTTTCTCCCTTTTTTCACTAAGAAGTTCTGACGACGTATATCCTTTACTATTCTTTTTACCTGTATAATGATATCTAAGGATTCGGAGTGATACATTACTCTTGGTACAATTATGCTTTCAATTGCTGTTTGTTGGTACGTTGCTCCCAGTAGTTAGATTGGAATCTCTGCAGGTTTGATTGCTCATGCCTGCATTTTATTTTTATTTTTGTATTTGTAGTATAAGTTACATGTCTTCTTTATGCATTATCTATTCCTTAGGTAGTACAGTTTGTATATTTATATCTTGTTAATAGGTTGCTACAGGCTAATTGCAGTTTGATCGCTTTTCGATTAGTTCTGCCTGCTGTCTATCTCTAACGTGTTCTCTATGGATTGTCTCTGTATCTAAATGGCCCCTGATGGGGTGTATAGGTCTTTCTTCAATATTTATATTTTATTCCTGTATGCAGGCTATGTTTTTAGTTATATGTATATGTATTATTTTGTTGGTTATACTGGGTTGCTATGGGAACAACCCCGGGAGGCGCACGTCTATGACATCATCAGTGTCAATTATTTGACCTGCGCAGGCTGCTGGTCAGGTGCCCCTGGGATCACTCCTATCTTGGGTAACCTGGGTAAGTTATGGGGATATTGGGGGGATATATTCTTATGGATTTGATCTGCAAGCTCATCCTGATGAAAGTCTGTGATACAGACTGAAACGTTGATTTTTATTTTGAGCTAATAAAAGCTAAGTTTTATTCATTCAACTTGGAAGTCCCTGGAGTGCTATCTTGTACTTTTGGCTGTATCTGTTTGCTGATAAGCACCGGGCAAGTACATCAAGGAAGGTGGAGTGCATTACTATTTTTGTTTTATATATATATTAATTTCACAATACAGTTAGAACGAAATAACACACATCTATATATTTTTTAATTATTTATTTTTAATTATTTATTTAATTTTATTTTTTTACGTATTTACATTTTTATTTTTTTTATATTATATATAAATATATATATAACAATAATTATATATATATATAAGTAATCAGTATCAGTCTACGTGTAATTTGATATTAATATATATATATATATATATATATAATTATATAGATAGTTAATACAATGCTAAACAAAAATCTGCACACCAGTCAAGCCATAAGACTTGCTTTTCCCACAGAAATCCCAAATCAGCAGTGATGTTACAACCGCAAAGGATTCTGGGTGGGCATATGCAAATTAGTTTAACAAAGAATCACATTTTTGCCTCATTCCATTTTAAACATGGATTCCTTTTAATTTGTGTTTGCAGTATACAACTGCTTGGAACACAATTTAGGATAAGATGCAAAACCAGTGAACCACTCATGGACAGCTGTTTCGTTGTTAATGCAACTCTTCAGCATGAGGTTGGTTACTGGTTTGCTTATGGAGGCTTGGTAGTGCTTGTGAAGCAAGATCCAAATAGATTATGGTGGGGAAAAATTGTGATTGAAAACCCCTATCTTGGGTAACCTGGGTAAGTTATGGGGATATTGGGGGGATATATTCTTAATTTTCAATCACAATTTTTCCCCACCATAATCTATTTGGATCTTGCTTCACAAGCACTACCAAGCCTCCATAAGCAAACCAGTAACCAACCTCATGCTGAAGAGTTGCATTAACAACGAAACAGCTGTCCATGAGTGGTTCACTGGTTTTGCATCTTATCCTAAATTGTGTTCCAAGCAGTTGTATACTGCAAACACAAATTAAAAGGAATCCATGTTTAAAATGGAATGAGGCAAAAATGTGATTCTTTGTTAAACTAATTTGCATATGCCCACCCAGAATCCTTTGCGGTTGTAACATCACTGCTGATTTGGGATTTCTGTGGGAAAAGCAAGTCTTATGGCTTGACTGGTGTGCAGATTTTTGTTTAGCATTGTATTAACTATCCACATACTTCAGGTGGAAGGGGTTTTCAATCACAATTTTTCCCCACCATAATCTATTTGGATCTTGCTATAATTATATATATATATATATTAATAGTAAAATACACCTAGACGGTGTACGTGTGTGTATGTATATGTGTATATATATATATACTTAGATCATATATATATATATATATATATATATATATAATATATATATTTATATATATATGATCTAAGTATATATATTTTTTTTTTACACTTTTAACTTAATTTTATTTTATTTCCAGCCAGCAGGGGGACCACCTGTCATTACATGCAGCCCCCCTGCTGGCAATGCAGGAGGCAGCTACCCCCTGGCCATGTGATTGTGGGGTCCTCGCAAGGACCCCACTCTCACATGACTGGGGGGCTTCAAGGAGGACGGTCGTGCTGCGGGGGGCTCCCTGGGAGTCCCCCCCACCGCGATCGCCGGCGTGGGATCGCCGGCAACTGGGTAAGTACCGAAAGACCGGAGGGCGTACTATTACGCCCGGCGGCATTTAGAGCCGCTTAGAATAGGGCGTAATAGTACGCCCTCCGGTCTTAAGGGGTTAAACAACACAATGTAACTCCAAGTCAATCACACGTCTGTGAAATCAAACTGTCCACTTAGGAAGCAACACTGAGTGACAATCAATTTCACATGCTGTTGTGCAAATGGGATAGACAACAGGTGGAAATTATAGGCAATTAGCAAGACACCCCCAATAAAGGAGTGGTTCTGCAGGTGGGACCACAGATCACTTCTCAGTTCCTATGCTTCCTGGCTGATGTTTTGGTCACTTTTGAATGCTGGCGGTGCTTTCACTCTAGTGGTAGCATGAGACGGAGTCTACAACACACACAAGTGGCTCCGTTAATGCAGCTCATCCGGGATGGCGCATCAATGCGAGCTGTGGCAAGAAGGTTTGCTGTGTCTGTCAGCGTAGTGTCCAGAGCATGGAGGCGCTACCAGGAGACAGGCCAGTACATATCCTGTGTACATATTTCCCCACCTTTAGCCTGTGTACAATAACCCTCTCCCCCATCTTGTGTGTTCACTTTATTTTTGGTTATACATTTTAGCTAGCTCTATTTTACTAGCTTTTTTAAACAACTGTATTAAACGTAATGTTTTACTGTAATACTGGCCATCGGACAGAATATCCCTTTCCTGTTTAGGATTTAGATGTATGCTTTATGTCAACTGGCTAAACCCCTATGTGTGTTTTGGGGAATGCAGTCCCAATGTCATCAGATTATGGATTTGAGCACACCAAAGTTAATCAGGGTTAACGATACATGGAATATTTATTTACTCTTACTTCATTTGTTCCTTCTTGCCCAAGACAACATTTCTGCGGGGTGTGTGCAGTCAGTGGGCATTCCCGTCACAGCCAAATGCACATTGTGGAAACAGTAAAATGATATTCTCCCCCCTAAACATTTGATACAAATTACCCTTTTAAAGAACAGACATTCACATCTTGTTTTCATAAATGGATTTTTTCTCCTTTTGATATTCCAAACGTACTTTGGCCTCGATGCTGTAAGCTCCGCTTGATTCCAGTGATTCAGACTAATTACACCAGATCTTTTTTATCCATCGACTGTAACAACCTCGTAGCTACTTAGAGACCTGCTGGGAGGATAGTTTATCCTCTGAATAATAGATTTAAACACTTTAGCTTAATTTCCATCAATAAAAACAGAAAATAACTTAGATTCCGCTTGGCCGGAGCTTCTAATAGATTTTGTAGACTGAGGATTAAATCTAAGGATCTGTTTCATGTTTTGGCACAGATTATAAGTAATGTTAATCTTGGATCCATCACCCTCTGTGTGGAAAATATCTTCAAACACACTGTATGAACACTTATTAGTTAAAATAACTAATTAGTTAATAAATAATTAGTTGGGATTAAATACCCCTCTTGTGGATCCAATTGGCTGTAACCGGCCTTTGAAAACAAAGGCAATTATCAGGTTTACATGTGCTTGATTGCTTCTCAGCACAAAACCTTGCTGTGGATTTGATGAGCCATGACCGGCCATTGAACCGAAAAGTAATTACCAGGTTTCCATGTGTCTGATTGCTGCTCGGCACAACTTTTCCTGTCAGGACAGTAATGTTGCTTGGCACAACTTTTCCTGTCAGGACAGTAAATGCCAATAACCACATTTTTATGTGCGGATGAATATACGTGACAGAGTGGTGTTACAGCATCCCAAGTTGTCATCCAACTAGAGAAGCAGGTATAGCTTGTATAGCATTTTGCTACAAAAAGCGACAAGACTCTGTGTTGAGGGTAAAAGTAAGACTGATTTTAATGGAGCCACAGCTGGCCTTCTATGGGGGCCTTTTATGCAAAGTATTTCTGGTGACATATTCCAGGAGCATTCCCAACTGAACCTGAGAGCGGACAGCGACATAAGCACATACATAATGACATTACCTCTCTGTTCGAGTACATGGATAATAAAAATCCCCCAAAATACATAGTTAACAATGAGGTATCCCTTCAAGTCCTATATTATGCCCATATAGCCTGGATCTGAGAGCCCAACATATGTCGAATTCACTCAGATCCCACGAATGTAGCCAAAACACCACAGAGTCAAAGTTTTGACCGACCGCACACGAGACGTCTGCCCAAAACAGTTCCATGAAATCACGCCATGCGGTCAATGTCTTTCGGGAGTACCTAAATACAACTTATAAGGCAATTAGTAATTTGTGCCTCTGTTCCCATAGTCCTGGTAGTTCGTGAGATGTTCTTACCGAACGCCGTTCATTTCATGTGAATAGTATGGAACCTCTGTGAGCATGGAAGTCTTAATGGTGTTCGCACCGTTGAGTGTCCGATTCTAGTTCCATACACTCAACAACCAAACACCGCTGGCTGCATTCGTATTCCAAGATGGCCACCGCCACATGTTCGTACATACAAACACTGACCACCCAGCCGACCGCTTAGAACGTTGAGGTGTTTGGAGGTTTTAGGAGGGGTCAATAAGGTTAACAATTGCCACACTCCGCATCTTGGTGGTCGGTCGTTCGGTAGGTCTTTCGTTAATCGAACGGATAATGGTGATATAGGGCATAGCTGTATTTAGTAAAATGGATAGGCAAAAGGGATAAAAAGCTCTTGTAAGAGCTATACTATCCTGGGAAATCGGAAAGCATTACTCTGAACAGGGGGAAAAAACAGCTCAGGCGGCGAAACCCCTCATCCTCTTGGGGTAGTCGCCACATCCTCCACACTCATTCAACACTCAGCAACCACAACCACAACACACTCATACGACACTTAACCAGCACACACACAACACTCAAACAACAGAGTCAATGGCTTTAGGAGGAGGCCCCAATATGGCACCCTAGCCAACTTTATCCCAATTATAAGAGGTTGAATCTGCTGATAGAAAGTTATTTCTGTTCTACTGATTAATAAGGTTATATCAGGTAACAGAATCAGTATAAACTGGGAAGGAGTAACAAACCTCCAGTACCCTGAGTGGTACATTCGCACAGAACCGAACGGAGTGCCTATCCTTAGCGTAAACAATCTGCCAACCTCCAGCAGGAATCCAGTGAATCGCACACAGCTTTCTCACATACCCAAACATCAGCCTAGACTTGATGAAATGTATAACAGGAATGTCTTTATTCACGCCAAGTGGCCTCTTTTATACACAATCCCCTGGCCTGGGGCTAAATTCAATCATACAGTCAAACATTCCCACATTTCAGTTAAATACTCCCACAATTTAGTTAAACCCTCCCACAATTTAATTAGCCCCCTATTTATTTGGGCCGGAGAGATAATTGAAGATTATGCTAGCTTCAGTGTACAGATAATCTTAATTTTAATAATGACAGGAGGCGACTATTTTGCATAATCTTTCTTTACTAACTCCATAGCAGCAAAGAAAAAAGTGACATAACTGAGAACCAATCACAATGCAGTATAGAGTATAAGAGGTGTGACGTATGACATCATTTCCTCTTTAAAGCATGCGACATCACAAGATCACAATGCAGAAACAATAAAGATAACGTATAACATGAAAATAGAACATAAACGTATGAAGAATTCTTGACAGGGAAGAGTTCTTGGTGTCAAGTGACGAACTTCCATGACAAGATGATGATGATATCTTGAAGGAAGTCTTCAGTGTCCTGATTCATCTGGTTAAACTGAAACGAGAATGTAAAAGGGTATTAGATTCCGGAGATGGTTGTGTAAAACAACGAGATGTCTATCCCTTATGATTAAGTAACCATCATACTGCAATAGAGCGAATACATTCCACCCATCTATTGATGCTACCTAAGCCATCCCACCCATATGAAATATCTGTATTAATTGTAAGAAGACAACTTAGGCATTTAGCACAAAAACATGTGAATAAAGAGATAGAAATATACATGAAGACAGAGGTGGGGAAGAGCGAAAGAGAGCAGGGTGGGAAAATACTCGCCTCCTGTCATTATTAAAATTAAGATTATCTGTACACTGAAGCTAGCATAATCTTCAATTTTATCACATGACAGGAGGCTTCGTATTTTGCAATTTCAACGCTGAGTAAGTAGAGCAAAAGCTGGGTTAGATGGAGGACGGAAATAGAACGTCCTAAAGGTGGATTCTCTGGTCCAGTCCGCCGCTCGTAAAATATCTGGAAGGGAGGCCCCCGCTGCGTAGGCAGAAGAGGCTGCGGCCCCTCGGACTGAGTGTGCACCAAAAGCCTGGTCTATCCCGGCGAGGGCTAATAGCCATCTAACCCATCTGGCCAACGTAGTAACCGAGACTGGAGCGTAGGGGCGGACGTAAGAGATGAGAAGTTGGCGATTGGAAGTAGGCCGCAACGTCGCGGTGGCTTCCACGTATCGACGAAGAGTAGAGACCACACAGAGTTGTGGGTCTGAGGGAAAAAAGGGGTAAAAAACAGAGGAAGAGTCAGATTTCGTGCGTCTAGAGATCTGGAAGGTTACTCCCGCTGGGCAGAAGGTAAATGCGTCGGCATCGAAAGCGCGTACATCGGACACCCGACGAAAGGAGACTAGGCACAGTAGGAAGGTGAACTTTGCCGTAAGCTGGCGGAGTGATAAGTTCTCATTAGGGGGCCAGTCCCGTAAAAACTGTAAGACTATGCCAACGTCCCAGAGTCTCGAGTATTTGGGTTCCGGGGGGCGCCGAAGGCGCATGCCACGGAGGAGTCTACAGATGAGTGGGTTCTGGCCCACTGGTGTCCCTTGAGTCGGCGTATGAGCCGCTGAGATGGCTGAACGTATCACATTGATGGACCGGTATGACTTCCCGGTTGTGAACAGAGAGGTGAGGAAATTCATGATGGAGGGAATAGGTGCCGTAAAGGGATTGAGATCCCGTCCCAGACACCAAGTAGTCCAGCAGTGCCATGCTGATAAGTAGCACCTCCTTGTTCCTGGCGCCCATGAGTCCCATAGGAGCTCTCTAGTTTCCTGCGATAAATCCTCGGTTCGCCAGGAACCCCTGAAAGAGTCCAAGCCACCAGGGGCAGTCGGCCCTCTTGGACCAGCGGATGGGGAAGTCCCATCGGGTTCCTGAGAATGGATGGAGTATCTGGTAGGAGGAGGGGATCCTTGTTCGATAGTTCCAGAAGGTCCGGGAACCATGGTTGGCTTTGCCATAGAGGTGCGATGAGGGTCAGTATCACCCTCTGCCTGCGGATTCGGTGGAGAACCCTCGTAATCATCGAGAATGGAGGGAAGGCGTAAGCCCCGTGTTGTGGCCATTGTTGCAGAAACGCGTCGGTTGCTAGACTCTCCGGATCTGGGAGCCAACTGAAGAAGTCCTTCGTCTGACGGTTGTTGCGGGAGGCGAATAAGTCCAGGGAGAAGGGGCCCCTCTGTGCATCTAGCATCGTGAAAACGTGAGGGTCTAGTTGCCAGTCGCTGGCGTCCCTCCAGTGGCGTGAGTACCAATCTGCTGTCGTGTTGGTCTCTCCTGGTAAGTGTTCCGCTAATAGCGTGATGTTGCGAGGCAGACAATAATCGAAGATTTCCTTCGTGAGTTCTACTAATGCTTGGGAGCGGGTGCCTCCGAGTCGGTTGATGTATCTTACCGCCGAGACGTTGTCCATCCGGAGAAGGATGCAGCAGTTGGATCGTTCTTTTGCCAGACTGCGAATGGCGAACGATCCCGCCAGGAGCTCCAAACAGTTGATGTGCATCGAAAGTTCTTGGGGAGTCCACACTCCCCCCGTGGAGGAGGTGCCGTCTGTTGCTCCCCAGCCTGAGCGGCTGGCGTCTGACTCCAATATGAAGTCTGGTTGATTTCGCCCGGCCATTCCAAGCCTGCATGCAGTTCAGCCACCAGTGCAGTTCCTCCCGAACTTCGTCCGACATGGGGACCGGTTGGTCGTATGTTGGGTCTTTGCGAAGGAACTTTGTCTTGAGGCGTTGCATGGCTCTGTAATGCAGGGGTCCAGGAAAGATGGCCTGGATGGATGACGAGAGAAGGCCCACTATTCGTGCTAGTAGACGTAAAGGTATGGATGTCAGTCGAAGTACCTTCCGAATTTCTCTGCGGATGGTGGCAATTTTTGCGGCCGGGAGGCGTAGCGTGCACGATATTGAGTCTATCTCGAACCCAAGGAATTCGATCGACTGAGCAGGCGTCAGTGATGACTTGGGGCCGTTGATAACGAAACCCAGTGAGTCGAGGAGGTGTACGGCGTAGTCTGTATGTCTCTTTAGGGTCCTTGCATCCTCGTCGAATATCAAGATGTCGTCGAGGTAGACGATGCATCTTATGCCGTGGGCCCTTAGTCTCGCCATTACCGGCTTCATCATTTTGGTGAAACACCATGGGGCCGAACTGAGGCCGAACGGGAGACAGGTGAATTGCCAAGGTGTCCCGTGCCAGTAGAAGCGGAGGTATGAGCGGCTCCTTTCGTGCACCGGTATGGTAAGGTATGCGTCCTTTAGGTCTAGACGCGTGAACCAATCGTTGTCTCGCAGTAGGTCCCGGAGAAGATGGATACCCTCCATTTTGAAGTGGCGGTACACCACATAGGAATTGAGCTCCTTGAGGTTGATGACGGGACGGAATTCCCCAGTTTTCTTCCTGACTAGGAAGATATTGCTGTAGAACCCGGTTGAGTCCGGAGCTGGTTGGATGGCACCCTTGGCGTGTAAGTCCTGAAGTTCCATGTCTATCAAAGAAGCGTCTGCCCGTGAAAACTGAATCGGGCGAGGTGGTGCCTGTTGGAGTGGCCTCGTCTCGAATTCTATTTGATAGCCCCGCACCGTCCGAAGTATCCATGTGTCGGAGGAGAGGTCTGCCCAATTCTGGAAAAAAAGAGAAACACGACCTGCGATATGGCAAGGGGTTAGAGGCAGTATATAATGGTAACTTACCGTTGGAGAATCTCGCTCGGGAGCGTCCTCGGCCGCCACGGCCACGTTCCGATCCCCTGAACTGATGGAATCGATGGCGTGCAGATGGATCTGTGTAGAATGGTTGCGACCTGGTTGTGCGGGGGCCGGATGGCCAGAAGCGGCTGGTGGCACGGCCCCTCTGCCGACCAGCCCTCCCAAAAACACCACGGGTGTTGTGGCCGCGGAACACTTTCCGCATTGATGTTTGTGCCTTATTGAGGGAAGTGAATATGTTGACCCTCTTATTAAGCTCAGTAAGGAAGGCCTCGCCAAACAATTTGCCCTGTGCCAAGGGGCCTAATTCTTTATCCCCCAGTTCGACAAGCTTGTCATCGATTCTGAAAAGTGCTGCTCGGCGCCTCTCCGAAGAGAGGGCCACATTAGTGTTCCCGAGGAAACAGAAGCACCTTTGTGCCCACTCTCGGGTATCTCGTGCCCACTCACGCACCATATCTGGGGAGAAGTCATCAGCCCTTTCATAGGCATCATCTGCCATATCCATGATCCTCGCCAAAGGCCCGATGGCATCTAATAGTTTGTCCTGAGCTGCCTTGAAACCACGTTCCACACCCTTGCGTGGGTCCCGACCCCCGCGGGACATGAATGTGGTCATAAGCGGGTCGAATTCGGGGGTGTGTGCTACCTTATCTGGTAGGCTCGGGCGAGGACATTCAGATCTCATACGCTTTCTCACTTCTTTGTCCAGAGACTTCCGGAGCCAGAAGTGCATGAATCTGGTCAAGTGTTCGGGTGGTGTCCATTCTTCCGAACGGGGATGGCGGATGTTCCTAGGATCGAACATTCGGAGGCCAGAATTGTCCAAAAATATTTCTGAACCCTCTTGTGGGATGTCTAGGGATGTGGTCCCGGAGTCCTGGGGCTCACCCAGGGTCTGTTCCCCTATAAAGTAAGGGTCCGATTTGGCAGCGGAGTAGTCGGATTCCTCTTGGTCGGAGGCTGCCGCCTGCCATTCGTCAACCACGGCTAACGCGTGTGAGGGACCTGCGTCCTCTTCCCCAGAGGAAATCTGAGCGGG